AATGGTGAGCCATACCGCTCGTGTGTTTGCGTCTGTTCCGCGAAGTGAGCTTTACGCTTTGTGTGCTTGTTGGGCAGCGTGAGCGGGATCACGGTGTAGTGTGTACCTAATGTATCGCCCAGTGTAACCCATTTTGTGTGTTTGTTGGGCAGGGTGAGCGGGATCACGGTGTAGTGTGTAGGGGAGAGTGGGGAAAGATGCCCAGGGTTTTGCTATGTCATATATTATTCGAAAATGACGATGGGAAAGCAAAAACTTGGAGTTTCAACGGAAGCCGACATCATTTTTCTCCAAAAATATCACACTTTCGTGCCTGAAATATTATAACTTTTTTTGCTATTAAGCATTTTCCTGAAGAAGTGAAAGGGGGCATCTTACCCCACAGGGTGGGAAAGACGCCCCCTGACGTTGGGAAAGATGCCCCCTGCACTATAAGTGACATAAATGGGCACGTGAATCGCCTGAACGAATCAGTAGTCCCTTCGAGCCTGCAGTAGACACCAAACGCCATCATAAGGGCCCTCAAAAGTAGTCGAAGGGGCTTCAGAGGTCATCGTTAGGGCCATCATAGTCCAGCGCGGCCAAACAAGCCTCCGTGGTGGTGTTCGGAGACCACTGTGGGGCTCTTATAGGTCTTCATGATGCTTGAGGGCCCTCGAGCCCATCGTGGGGACCTCCGATGCCAGCGCGGCCCGTGGGGCCAACGTGGGAGCCCTCAAAGGATGTCGTGAGGGGCCCTGGAGCCAATAATGGGGCCCACAGAGGCCGTCGTGAGGGCTCTCAGAGTCTGATGCCGCCCAAAAAGTCGCTATGTGGGCCGAGAGACCGGCATGGTGAGCACCCGACCGTACTGGACTCTCAATAGTCCCAGATCGGCTTTTGTCTACATCACAAGTATGTAATAAATGATTTGACGGGCTGTTTGAAGGACAGCCTACGGATTTAGGGGGGGGGGCGTCTTTCCCCATCAGGACAGGGGGCATCTTACCCCAAGGTACCGAAGTAACATTAAATCAGTACAATTTGTTAGCCATAAAACTACACCCTGAAACAAACTGTTTGGGACACAGTACACGCATGCTAATGTATCACGACTATAGCAAGGAACGCAAAAATAATTTACCTTCTTTGATATTCACAATGTTCTGACGCCAAAATATTTTTTGAAAGCAGTAAATAAAAAACATGCAATCATCAGCCCGCCGTTGCCCAACTGAGCTTCGCAATTTTTTGTGCAGTTAACAAGGCAGGCTTCCGCTTTACGCTAAGAACATTAATTTCCAGGTCCGATTCTTTGTTTCGCCGCTAGAGGGGGTGGGGCGTCTTTCCCACCCTGGGCATCTTACCCCACTCTCCCCTACCTAATGTATCGCCCAGTGTAACCCATTTTGTGTGTTTGTTGGGCAGGGTGAGCGGGATCACGGTGTAGTGTGTACCTAATGTATCGCCCAGTGTACACCCATTTTGTGTGTTTGTTGGGCAGGGTGAGCGGGATCACGGCGTACATCCGGACGGTGGTGCGCCACCTGTGCCAAGGCCTGGTGTGCCGGCTCGAGCGGCGACCGGTCAGCTGCGCAGAGGAGAAGGAGGCCGTCTCCAGCCTGGTCTTGGTGCTGCTGCACCGGATGCAGGAGGCCACCCACGAGCCCGCCGGGGTACGGTCCACAGGCGCAGGGGCTCCCGCCGACTCGCGCTGAGCTGAACACAGTACAGCGCACTATGCTTTTCTTTCCCAGAGGCAGCATCATTTTTATTGTGACAGTGAATCAATTCATTTCGTATATCAAACTTCTGTTTCCTTTTGCACATTTTCCGTAAGTGACCAAACCGCTCTCTCCTGAAAGTACGACACGTCTCTCCGACCAACCCTGGCGAATTCCCCGCTCACTCGTGCCGCCCTCTGCCCCGGCAGATCGTCATGGTGTACGCTCTGCACAACGACAGCCTTCTGGAGGGCGAGATGCGCCACACGAACCGGTACGTGAAGCTGCGCTGTGAGAGCCACGCCGCGCTGGTCGGCTGCAGCAGCTGGAGCTGCCGGCTCTGGCTCTGGATGCTCTTCGAGACGTGCAGGTGAGCGACGAGCTGCTGCAGCGCTGATCGGCGTGAGCCAGACTTGGATATGGGAGTGGGTGTTACGTGCAGTCAATACGACTACTGACGGTCCTTCCAAATACGATGAAACTTAGCGGCTATCGTCTCCTATAATCCCCATTAACTTTAGCTGATAACGCGATGACTTTTTGCGAACGGCTGCACGCCACACATTTTGCTGGAGAATCTGCCTCCTGACGCCTCTCTCGCTGTCCGCTCATTCCCTCCTCTGTCACAACGACGCCTCTCTCGCTGTCTACTCTGTCCCTCTTCGCTCTCTGACGCCTCTCGCTGTATAGTCGACTACAGAATGATGTTCCACTCCTCAGAAGCTATCAAGTTGACCGGAGCATTAAATTGTGCCGTTTATCACGCGATTAAGCGTGTTGATTGTGAGCATTGGGACAAAGCTATAATTTGTGAACTCAGCCCGTGTGATGCGGCACAGCCTACCACTCCAGGCAAATAATTGCCTGTGAAAAGTGGAACATCATTCTGTAGTCGACTATACGTTCAGTCCCTCTGTCCCAATGACGCCCTGTCCGTTAAGTCCCTCCCCTGCCTCCCTGACGCTGTCCGCGCTGTTCCTCCTCTGCTCTCACTCTGCCTAGTCCCTCCCTCTGCCCCTACTGAAGCCTCCCTCGCTGTCCGCTCATTTCCTCCTCTGTCACATCGACGCCTTTCTCGCTATCCACTCTGTCCCACTGACGCCTCTCCCGCTGTCCACTCAGTTCCCCCGCCTCCCCGGCGCCTCTCTCGCTCTCTGCTCAGTCTCTCCTCTGCCCGCAGACTGACTGTCGAGGGGGAGACGCAGTTCGCGCAGATGATCTACCATCAGCAGAGGGTAAAGGAGGAGGAAGAACGCCAGTCACCCCGCCGGGGTGCCGCGAACCGCAAACCGCGACACTAGGGGCGGCTCAAGGGCGAAGGGCGACTCAGGGCACAGCGCACCTTCCTGAAAGACGTCTTTGGGGGCGGAGCTGGAGGATTAAGGTTAAACTTCAATGCCGAATAGTGGATCGTAGTTATGATAAGGCGGTCATTAAAGTGTTGTATCGATTTTAATTTATTAGAAAATGCGTCCATCCAGTGGCTAGTTTTATGGTCAGCATTATTTTATCAAATCAACGCTCTTCAGCAGTGAGTGAAGGATATGAGAGACACCGCTGGAAAGTGTTGTAAGATTGTAAGCGAGGCTGTGAAACATTTTTCATCCGCGGCATCTTCATTCCCTTAGAACGGCTTCATTTGTAACCGACAGGATTCGACGACGCGGCATGGTATTGTGTCCTGTTTTATGCCTCGTGTCATATCATAAATACATTTCGAGTTACATGCTACATTGACTATGTATACTAACGCATCACTATGGTCTGATGTAATCACTTGGCTTTGACTTTGATGCATGATACTTCTTGTGTGCATTACCCATATGAACCTTTCCTTGTGGCATTACTAAATCCTGCCACTTTCATAGTACCGTAAAGTGGGGCTATTTGAGACAGTGGGGCTATTTGAGACAGTATTTAAAATCGCTATAAAATGAAGATCGTTTGATTTTTGTGTGATATTTTTGCTCAGGGAGGTGTGGAATCGAGCAGTAAATCCCCTGAGCAAAAAATTAAGCATAAATTTTAAGTGGTTTTTATTTTATAGCGATTTTAAATACTGTCTCAAATAGCCCCACTGTCTCAAATAGCCCCACCTTACGGTACCACATCAGTGTTTTTTTTTTTTGCTTCACAGCGCTAAATTTTCACCCCAAGAAAATACCAGAATACTAGAAGACTAGAATAGAATACTAAAAAATGCTAGTCACCAATCACTGAAAACATGCATCAGTTTTTTTCGAGCAGTCATGGCCTATTTCCAACTGGGTGGACAGCGGACTGGACACGCGACACCCTTCCGTCGAGCGTTGTGTGACGCGAGGCTACCACACATCTCGTGCACGTTTACGTACTAGTCACGAACCGATGTACTTGTGCCTAATACCCATGCGCTCGTGTGCGTGTGCTCGTAGTTAAGCCGATACGACACAAAAAGTAGATAAATATCCCCTTGTCCAGCCAGTTCTCACCGGGCCGGCCGATTTCACTCGGACGAACGATCCGCGGGAGTCACGCGCTCATTCAAGCTGAAAGCAAGCCCCAGCGCCGCTACCCCGGAGAATAGACTGATCTCTGCACGAGATTCGATAGAACACCCGACCCGTGCCAGCTCCATCCGAAATCTCCCCGGGAGAGACACAAGATGAACGACGCCGGGTTCCGCATGACCGGCGCGCGGAGAGTATGGTACCGGGCACACGTGAAACCGCGATATATGATTTATTGCTGGGTGGAAGAAGGTATAAAGTTATCGGTTCAGAACCACGGCTGCCAGATAATCTCACTTTCTGAGATGAATGGAGATTGGCGAGCGAGCTTTCTCCGTGTCTGTCATGCCGGCAGAAACTAATGACCATACCTACGGCCCAATACGGGCGGATAGTATTCCGGTTTTCCAGACCCTGGGATAGAAACAAAAAGCCTCACCCACGCTACGTAACGGAAACAGAATGCAAAAACAAAAGAAAGCTGAAAACGGAAGGGATAGAGGGTCCAGACAGGCACGAGTGTTCTCGGCAACGCAAGAGTTGCACACCCCTAAGGCATACGAGTGCCATCCATATCTCGTAGCAAGCGCCATCTGAGTCTTACTTCTCCACGACACGGCAGCCATTACGACTCGTTCACGGGTCACGGCGGCTGAGTTGAGCGGCTGGCGTCCCGATGTCTCCCTGATCAGCTCCCCCTATTCCCTTGCTCTCCCGCACACCCCACCGCCCGGATATCGCCGGGGTCTATACGAGACTCTAACCACCTGTGTCGGCGCCGCGGCGGACTCTGACGAAACTCAGCGGCCGTGCTGTACCGATTTATTGGAGAGCGCGCCAGTCGCGGGACTCAGACAATGGGAGGATGATCCGCGGCATAACTCGGAGTGACGCGCGCCGGCCAGCACATACGGTGACTACCCCACACCCGCCCCGCCCCACGGCACCCACCTAGCCCGTCCCGTCCCGTCGCGGATAGATAAAGAGCGGCTGCCGCCGGTCCGCCGGCCCGGCTCACCGCCGTCGCTCGGACCTGCTCAGGCGGCAGTTCAATAGATGTCACATTACAGTTCGCGCAGTCAGCTAACACGTCACACAGGACAGCGGTGACGTCACCAGTCACACAGACTGAACAGTGACGTCACACAGATCGAGCAGTGACGTCACCGGTCACACAGATCGAACAGTGACGTCACCGGTCACACAGATCGAACAGTGACGCCGCAAGGGGCGGGACTGACCGGCCGGGGTGGACAGGCGACTGCGGTCGGTACTTAGTCGCGACTGGCAGAGTCCCCGCGGCCGTTAGACGCACTGGCCGATCGTCTGTGGGGTGAGGGAGGGGTGTCACGGGTCAGATCGGAGCGGGTCATGCAATGAGGGTGTGTGGGGGTGAGGGTGGGTTTGGGGGAGGGGTGTCACGGGTCAGACGGGGCGAGTCATACACTGACGAGTGACAGTTAGGGGATACGTTTGACTGCGATGAAAAAACCGTCTACCACACAGGGACTACAAAAAAAAGATACAACACCAGTACCGACAGATAATTATTTAACAACCGAAAAAAGTAGAGGGCAACGAAATAAGTACAGCAGCGAACTATGATGAAATTGATAGAAATGTCGGTAGCCAAACACGTCCAAAACTGTATCTCCCTCCCGCACCCGCGCACGCCTGTCCCTCCGTCCGCCCCCGATACGCACCTTTCTGACCGTCGGTCTCGCTCGCGGTCGCGGTCCCTGCTGTCCCGCCGCCGGCGACGGTCCCGGTCCCGGTCTCGGTCCCGGGAGCGGTCCCTGCGCCGCTCACTGGACCGGTCGCGGTACCTGAGGAGAGCGAGGGAGGGCAGTCAGATCAACGGGTCGGATAGAAAAGCCACTGAGACGCTGACCCGGCTGCACTGCGCTCGGGTACCTGATACCACGATGCTATTCAGTTCTTATCAGGCTCAAAACCCTACAAGAATCTCCAGGCACGTTTCGCAGACATTTCCAAACAGAACTCTCCCAAGGTTTGTCCGTTTGACACCAGATAAAAAAAAACATGGCAGGGTGCTACCATCTAAGGAAGTACAGCACTGTCGCCAGCCCGCCCGTTTCTGAATGTGTCTCCCGCCGCTATGCAGTTAAAGGGAGATAATGAGCTTTCTTTTTTCTTAAATAAAAATTACTCGACATCTATACTATTTCTACTGTAGTTTCTATAAAATATGAAAATTTCCTAGCACATTTTCGTATGTGAAAAAGGTTTTTATTTTTGCAAAAAAGAAGCAGTACTTGCAGTACTTGTAACACCCACCGAAATGCGTTGTCCTTCTCTATAAAAAAGTCGTAGTATATGGCGCTTTTGTTTCAAACAGCGACGCTTGGGTTTTTGTTTATGTTATCGCCTTGTCGTTGCTTGGTTGTAAGGATTATAATTTGAATTAGAGTTAATTCGGTTTAGAATTAATTAGATTCTAATTCGGGGGTACATAGTGCCTACTCTTCTTTGTTTCCAACATTATTTTGCGCCACAAATGAACGGCATGCGCCAGAAACGCAGCCAAATCTTGCGATTGCGACTACGAAATTCATTATTTTGGCCTCAGAGCCTGAAGCGAAAAATACAAGCATATTTATTTCAAAAAGACTTCAGGTTTGTCGAACGGTGTTATGAGAATTTTGATAACAGTACTGCATAAGTTTTTCAGTGATGCCGCAAAAGTGTTGTATCTATCTTCTTTTATTGTGCAGTCGGCGGGACCGATTCAAAATTGAGTCGTTGCTACTAAAATAGCAGCATATGGCGACAGATGATGAACAGGAAAAATAGTTGCGTAAATTTAGACATAAACCACCCCCAAACCATGAATATCTTTTGAAGGCACTATAGACGACCATTAACTAACTAGATGTGATGAAGATCAAATGTAATGAATACGCTCATTTTACAAAATTACATGCAAGTACCAAAAAGTGATGTAAGTACTTATTCAACGGTCATTTTCAGCGCTCCCCGCTAACGTGACTTCAAGTTGAGATATTTGCGGCAAGGTGCCGAATTGAGCAAAATGGTTTTAATTTACATTATAACTTGTTGTGTTTTGTCAGAAAATGGTCCTAACTCAGATTTTGTGGAAAAAGGTCATAATCTCCCTTTAACTGTCCGGCCGGCCGCTCACCTGCGCCGGTCGCGGTCTCGGTCTCGGCTCCTGCTCCTGCTGCGCCGCCGGGACGACCTGTCCCGGTCCCTGTCCCTGTCCCGCTCCCAGTCCCGGCTGCGGCTGCGGCGCCGCCGCTCCCGGCTCCGACTCCGGTCGCGGTCGCGCGAGCCGCGCCGTCGCTCATTCAGCTCGGCCTCGCGCGCCTTCCTGCGCTCCTCCCGCCGCTCCTCCACGGTTTTCTGCCGAGGGAGGAGGGGTTAGAGTGGGACGGGTTGATTGACAGGAGTCTGAAAGCAGATAAGGCAAGGAGACGATGAAAAGAGTGCAGCTGTAGCAAGGGAATGAAGGGAAGGAAAAGTACAGAAATAAAAAAAAGCTGCATCTTGAGGTTCATCAAACAGCGCGGTCCACTGCTGTTCGGCGGTGTAGCAGAAAAGAGATTCGCTGCTGGAATGAACTCGATAGTTGAACTGGTAGAACAGGGGAGCTTGAGAGTCTTGGAAAAGATCCCGAGATAGATCTAGAGAGAGATCCAGATAGTGATGAGATCCTGAGATAGATGTAGATATAGATCCACCTGATAGAGATCTTGAGATGGTGTTGAGATCCACCTGAGGGAGATGTCTAGAGATCCACCTTGCATACAAATACATCTGATGGAAGATGCTTTTTAATTTAGAGGCTTGATGATTCTGTTCATTGTATAGACCATGATGCACGAGATGCTTCTTCACTGCTCGGATTAGGGATAGAGGTATCCGATCAGCTGGGTTTGCGGCACAGTTGGGCAGGTGAAGGACAGGGCATTCGAAGTCCCGATGACCACTGCCAAACATATGGGTGGTAATTACATTGATAAATTGAATGTGATCATTCGTCCAGTCACCCATTCCTATATCACTGGCCTTCCCATTAAGAAAATTGCCCACTTAATTCGTATTAGCGTTGCTAGTTTTAAGTTGCCCTCGAGATTAATTAGTTTGACTGTCCTAACTGAGCTTCGCTAAACTCCCATCGGCCTTATCCTAAGATTCATCCTTTACCATTCTCACTCTCATCCTCTCTCTACGTTCGTTCGTCATATATTCACCCCAAATTTATTTAGCGCCCCTCGAATTCCCTCCGATGGCGTTAGGTGCCTGACTAATAGCGATCTCCCCGGCGAGATAAATGTCTCTTTCCGAAATCCATATGCATGCTCCGCTAACCGGCGACAAAGATACTTACCGCAGGGCCGTCCAGAATAATTGCATAAATATCCACCCTACTAATTTATGGGATTCACTACACGACCGATAGACTTATGGTACACACATACACGATTTATATCCGACTTATCTCTCTACCGGGAGAGATTACCTATGCCCTCTTCCGGTCCGCGTGTAACATTCCCGTTCACGACCCAGGGACCCTAGTTCATATCCTGGAACTATCCTTAACCATGGGATTTACTATTCAAGGCCTTACGTGTCCTGGAGTACATTCTTCCCTCCCCTGAGGCTGTCCAGTACCGATTAGAGTACCTTTACGAAATAAGTATGAGGACTTATCCGGGACACTACGGCTCGCCTTATCCGCCCTTTGGGTGACTCACCCCTGACCTTCGGCTTCTTGCCTTTGGCATAACTTACTCTCCACTGCATACTGTGCCAATCTTCCCCTTCCCCCCTGCCGTAGAAACCTCTCACTGCCTTCTCACCCAGTGTTACCTAAGCGGGAAAATTAACAGTGGCCGGTACCACTGGCGGAAAACGTGCATATGCCCTGCGTACGTGACGGTGTGTCCCTCTTATTATTCCGGTCTGGACGTGGGTTTCGAGAAGTGCATCTGTGTCTCATACAGTCATGCTGGTAAACGTTACGCCATAGGAGGCGGGCAAACAAGCCGTCTGTGCCTCACAATGCCCTGTGCCAATATTGTTGGAGTAATTATTGGCGCTAACTCGCAAGAACGCGAATAGCAGAAACGCATAATTTAACCAAATCTAATCGTAATCTCAAGTCCTAATTGCTGCTACACGCGTGAACCTTATCATCAGTTCTCGTATACAATCCTAGCAGACCTTGAACCGCTCTTGATTTAATCAGACATATGATCTAGAACCAATTAACACGCATCGATCTGCCGTCTGGTTGTGATCCACCGTACCATAGTGAATTACTGAATGCTCAAACGGAAATGCCTCCTTGAAACTCGTTCGATAGCTTCTGATGGGCTACTAGTTACCTAAACAAATTATCTTTATAGAGTGCCAGAATATTGTCATAGGGTCCCTAGCCTTTCATAGGGAATCTAATTTAAATCATCCTATTAGCAGTAAACAATGCGCATCAAACGAAGTGCAGTCCTAGATATCATATAGCATATCATATTTAACTGTCTACGTTCTTATCCCGTTGCAACTTTCCGCAACTAACCAGACTCCTATACGTGACCTTCACCTACCGCCCGCGCCCCAATTACGGCTAACCCACTGCCCCTGTTGTGGCTGCTTCTCGCGCCCTCTGGCGGCTCAACGCCCGTGTCGGGAACGACGATTACGACGGCCGCCGGCCGGCGCCGCGTCGACAGTCGACAGTTGTCAAGGCCGCGCCGCGATGGGCGCGTCATCACTCGCGGTGCAGTACTGGTGTGTGCGGTCTCTTCGGGCCGGGAGATTCAACGGCTGTGTCAGTGAGTGTGAATCTGGTAAAATATCGCTTCGATATCTCCCTGTTCGACATCTCATCAGCTCCATTCCACGTAAGTTTTTTTTTTTTTTTACTCCTGTCCCATTTGATCGTTTCCCAACAAAGCTGGTCCTTTCTAGTATTTATTCTACAAAGCACAACGATCGGTACCTATATTAGTCGCATATTAGTTCTAACCACAAACATTTCTACATCTACCTGTTACTCGACATTTCGCAATTTCAATGACGCAAAGTGACCATCTAAAGTCGCAAAGTGTCAAACCGTCAACCTCAAACCACTGCTCGCAACTATGCACCTAAGTAACAGGAAAAATTCCGCCGTACGCTCAAGCATTCGTATCTGTCGCAAATCATAATTCATAGCCATATTCATAGATCGATCGCATGAATCAGTCGCCACCTTAAAACATTACATTCCTTTCAAACGTATTTACCTGTTCTATAATTGATTTCGACTTCCATTTTAGCTTCCATTTTAGATTACAGCAATATTACCAATGATTTCGCAATGCAACTTTTAGTGAGTACAGCACGAATCTAAACCCTTTATTTCACAAACGTTCCAACCTCAAAACGCACCTGGCCATCGCCCATAATAAATCGAACGAACCATCTTGACCGAAGACAAAGACATTTCAACGTTGTCACGCATCCTGTCATCAATTTCAGCGTTCGTGACACTGAGCTACTTATGTAAATTTTCGGATCTCGCTCTTGGCCTAATCGTGAACTCCCACTGACAATAACGGTTTGCTGGCGACTCTGACATGACCTCGAAATTCAGATCCTAACATGCTACTAGGGTGTCTGGACCAATAAGTTCAAAGTAATTTAAGTTTTCCAATTCCAATTGAGAGTGCATTTTATGGTAACCGAAAATGTTTGGCAGTCGTCACGGGCACGGCACGCTGGGCAGAGGGGGGGGGGGGCAAGGATTGGGATTGAGCAGACTTTCAACAACACTCACATTCTGGAGTTCTCTGCGCTTCCGCTTCTCAGTGTGGTCTCAAGCGTCGGCGGTTGTCCTCCGGCTCTGGTCACTCGAACTGAAGAGGCTTCTCGCGGGTGACCCGGACTGACGGCGGCTCCCAGATGGCGTCTCCGGCTCCAGCTGTGGACTGTGACTCTCGGCTGCTCGACTGTGATTCTGCCTCTGGTTGGGTGGCGCACCCTTTTATAGTTGGGGGGGGAGGGGTGACTGCCACGCCCTTGCGACGTCATCTTCCTCTGCCTTCTTCTGGTGGGTGGGGCCGTAAGATGGCGCCCTCTGTCCTGTTTAGTCACCTTGCTCTTCTGTGCCTGCAATTTTTGGCCGTCGAATCGTCTTCGTGTTGAGTGCTTTATCATTTTAGTAATCGCTGGCATAAAACAATCCCCGAAAGGTTTGTGATTTTCGAGTTTTAATTTTGATTCTTCAATTTCATTTTATTCAAACTTTTGTTTCCTTCCGTTTCGTCTGCCGGCAACGCCCCTTGTGACGTCACTCTTGCTCCGCCCACTGGCCCGGGTGTGGCCGTAAGTCAGCGCCTTCTTCCTCTGCGGAGATCTCTGGAACTACCTCATGAGGCCATTGTGAGGTCGGTCACCCGGTTGTTTTGCCAGGGTCACTCACCCTGGGCTGATGTACCCGACAAAGGAGGCTGTGTGCTCCAGCCGGCATCCATCCTTGACACTGCTCCATGATCTGTTGACATATCTTACTGATCCAGCGCTCCCAGCCGTTATCTGTCCTCGGCGTGGGTCCATGAGCTGTTGACAATGTTACTGATCCAGCTGTTACTTGTTGGGGTTCGAATCGTTCATCCTGCGGTAGCTGTCTCCAAAAGCGCGCGTCTTAATGGGAGTTTAACGGCTGCCCATTCTGTGCGGACAGTGATAGATTAGGGGAACTGGGGGGGGGGGAATTGGGTGTGGGAAAGCGAGCTAGGCGTGTGGCCGGACTGCGAGGGAGAGGGACTGCCGGACCGAGCCGTGCCGAAAAGATACTACGTTAAATGTTCAAGATGTAGCGTGCTACATCTTCAGTCCAAACAACCCTAGTTGCGTCCTCGCAACTCATACGAAGAAAAGTCATACCCCTTACTCATCTAAATCTACACAATCATCTGATCTTCAGCAACGCCTACAACATGACATCGTATACCTAGTACAGTACACACACGCACCTGTTGTTCCTCGTCCCCACCTCAGTTTGTCGTTCACCAGATCCGGGTCACGGGCACCAACCACTTTGGTTAGCCCGATGTCGTCGGTGGCCGTTCGGTAAGTGGCTTCTCAGGAGGGTGAAGGCTGCCATGGCAGCCCAGGTGGGCGGCCTCAACAGCAGTTCGGGTGGCGGCCTCCATGGCAGCCCGGGTGGGCAGCCTTCACGGCAGCCCGGGTGGCAGCCTGGGTGGGGCGGCCTCCACGGCAGCCAGGGTGGGAAGATTCCACAGCAGCCCGGACGGCGGGTTCCGTGGCAGCCCGGGTGGGCAGCTTGCACGGCGGCCCGTGTGGGCAGCCTACGTGGCAGCCCAGGTGGATGACACCTCTGTGGCAGTCCGGGT